TAAAATTGATTCTTCCCAGGACTTTGTCCTCAGTAATTTTGACTACTTCTGGGAACATATTCTAGGAGGATTGAATTTATGTGGACTTTTGGGGTGGTCTTGGTTGTTTGTGAGGGCGAGCCATCCTCGGTAATGTGGAGCTTGGGGTGGGAGCGCACTGTTGGAGCTGACGTGCTACATATTCCAAAAGGATTGGATTTATGTGGACGTTCACATGGGGTTGCATGATTTGTGGGCTTCAACGCCTGCTCTCATAAAGTCTCCTATCCTTTCGCCCTCGTCGATTCCGGGGGAATCACTTAGGAACAAATTCTGTTCGAACAACAGCGGTGGATTGCGATTCTTCGTCGAGTACGAAAGAAATTTGATTGACCATTGGGGGTTTCGAATATTTTTTTGGACCCCAAGTCAGAATTGTAGTGGTACTTATATGAGTGTTTGAGGTGAACTATGGCTTGAGACCATCTTATGAAAAAGTAGGTGTTCCATCCTTCCTAGAACAAGGAGGCTGGGGTTTGAAGGCATGGGATTTATTGACCTTGTCGGAATTCGATTGGTAGACTAGTCCATGTTCGACTTCCTTGCAATCTTGGCATGATCGTTCAGTTAGAATGTTTCTTCAAGCCCTTCAAGATTGAGCTTTTATTAGGCTAACCTTTCGGCTTCTCCGCTTTGTCAGAGCCTGAAATGATCGCTGCCCAATTTTTGTTTTTTTTTTCTGAGGAGGAAATACCTTTACGTCTGCGATTGGCAGTCGGATATGTTGAGCCTTTCGAGTGCACTTCATGGCTTTCGTACTTCAGCACTTTTGGCAAGGTCTTTTTTCATCGGAATACTGCTTAAGAATGCAATAGAAATGGGTTGGCCAAACGATACGGCATACTTTTTCCTACTTTTTCAATATCACGCTCAACAAGAGGCGAATTCAGTGGTTGTGTCATAGTCTTGTTTTTCCTTTCAGTTTGGGTGTTGGTGCTCCTGATTTGGGTGTTTTTTCGTGAGCCTAGAAACACGAATCCGACGGGAGGCCTAAGTGGTTTATTGCACGTTTGGTTGAACATAAACTGTTTCATGTTAGCAATTATCCCATATAGGTCTGACACACCATTTTGTTGTTGGATTTAGAGCAGATGGGCCCAATTAAGAGGGTTTCATAAGCCCCGTTGATTGCTAAAATGAATCACAAAATTCTGTTGGGATTGGCTTTGTTAGTATTACGTAACGTGGGCGATTAAATAAATAGTCAAAAGTTCTGAATGAGGAGATCAGAGAGCTTGGTTTTCTTTTTTGACTGCTGATTGATTGAGTGAGTAGATAAGAAGTCACCGTGGGTGATCCATACCTCAACACTTTTGCTTTTCTTGATGGCGTTGTCTTCTGCATGTCACTTTTTAAGTAAAATTTTCTCTTGGTGAATAGATTGTTTAGTCGTAGGCATGGCATGGATATAATTTGCTTCGAACGGAGGAAAACATCCCGTGGGCAGAAGGTAAAAACATGATTCTCTATATCTCGCTCGTTGCTGTGGGGAAATCATATGTGGAAATTCAATCATCGGCGGCATACTTTCTCGACTAACGCTCATAAAAAGATGCCATGAACACTGAACGATTGGGAAGGCAGGGGAATAGCTGACAGTTGAAATGGCAATTACATTTTTTGGATAAACTAGTAGTCAAGAAAAGTATACGAGGTTTTTAGGAACTTATTTATGACCGCAATCGGCGCGCTTCGTGCAGAATGAAAAATGATCGTCGACTTTTAGTCTTGAAAACAACGTTCTTCTGGAAATGGCAATAGCTGGAGCTAGAACTGGCAATTATGGAATTGAATGGAAACCGAGTGACACAAACTTTCGAAACCGAAAAAGTGGAAACAGGCCTAAGTTAGTAAACACGAGAGTAGGAAAGGTGATCGGATCTCTTCAAAGTGTGCTGCGTTTATTTGCTTTTTGGTGACCAAAAAAGGTTTTTTTCCTATTAATTTTAATATTTAAAAAATTTTCCTCTTACTAATGCATGCCTTATATCATTATTTATTTATGTGCGGAATCTTGTATTTTGGAAGGATGAAAAAGCCGCTTTGCTACCCTATCCATTGATATCTGGATGGCCAGTCTTGATAATTGTATGAACTAACGAAATGGATCAGCCTGTAAAATAGTGATCTAATTGTGAATCCAGGCTTATTTCGATGAGTTTTCGAAACTTTTTGGAATTTTGAGTGCTCCGTTGTACTATTGCTTTGATTACTGGTGAGATTGCAGAAAAGCGATGAACGAAAGAGAAATTGAGCGCCATAGCCAAAGAATGCGTTAGCAAATGGGATGTTTGGCACCCCGTTTAGCGCTCAGTTTTATGAGCCGTACCTTGCTACCCCGGTTTTGGCCCATTTGTAGACTCGGGCAGTTCTATGTGACTTCATAGATTTTTCATAGTACTAAGATTTTGGTGGATATCTGAATGATGAAGTGCGTACGTTTGAATCGAAAGACATCTGTCGTGCGTCACATATGTCAGCTTAATAGGAAGTTCCCTTGTGAAGGAGAGCGATCTTATTTGAACTTCGAATGGAGTTTCTTCGGTAATTTGGTTTTATCGCTTGTCATGATTTGGATGGTTTTATGGAAGCTCGTAAGCAATCTAGGTGCCTTATCATTCTGCATCTGCAATGCACATTCAGCAAATTCTTTCTGGACGTCATCTGCACTTTGTAAATTAGTTAAGCCGAATGTGTGTCTTCTATAGTGTGAATGATGTTCGAGAAACAGATTCTATTAGGTGAATTGTTTCGGCTTCGATTTTTCGAAGACGTTCAGGTCTGAGACATGAGATGTCCTCCAATAAGTCTCCCTCTATACGGTGCTGAGTACATTTGTCATCCGAGCGTTCCAATAGATGTTTATCGGAGAGAACCAGAATAACGTGTGAAACTGGCAATTAAGCTAACTAGAAATATGGAAGGATTAAGCAGTAATTAGGTGATCTTCCTGGATCGGTCCGCAGGTGCGTTATTCTGTCATATCCCACTCATTATCGCATAGGGATATGGGTACATTTTTTGGAGTAGGTACATAGGTTTTTGTGTCCTTGACCCTGCTTTTCAAGCTACAGTACCTCCTGATCCTAAAAATGTCCTGTTCTTATCGTTCCCAGACTTTCACATTTCTATGCGGTAAACCACGCTTTCAATATGCGCCTGAGGAATGATGAGGTGCCATAAACTTCGGGGAAAGTACATTTTTCGGTTAACTGGTATGCATAACCGACTTTTTCTTTGAGGTTTTTTTACGGATTGACAATTGAGCCGAGCTCGCCCCGAAATTCCATCCTGCTCGCCGTCCGCCGTTTATTGGGTGGGACTTGTTCTTCACAGCATTCATAAGAGCGTTTTTGGGCCCTAGAGCGGAGAATCGCTGCGACAACATGGCTTCATGTTTGTCTCTCTGTTTTCCACATTCATGTCCCCCTATCTACTGCAATCGATCGGCTTTGTGTGAGTGTGTTCAGCTGGTTTGTCGTCTTTTCGTAGGTGAACTGTAAATTTCGCAAGAGTCTATGACGTTAAGTGCTGTCATTGTAACGAGTTATGATAAGCGTTTCATTCCTGGAATGTGCAGGGCAAGAAGTTATGGGCAGGCATTAGAGGGAGTCGATACTGAATGTCTTTCACTGTATCTATAGCTTTCCATGGAGTAGATATGAATCGTATTGCTTTCTTCTTATATTATCGTAATAAAACTCGGATGTTCAATTCCTAAGGGACATCACTCGGCTACCAATAACCGTCACAACGCTGAGAAATAGAACTTCGTCACTATTGACTTCTCTTATCTCCTCTCAAACCCTCTGACACGTACTGAGATTAGTTATCTCAAAAAGAAACTGCTTAGGTTAAGAGGGTATTTTAAACCCTCCATTACTCATATTTTAGTAACTTTATCGTTGGGTTATTTTCTATTTTTTTAACTGATCGACTTGATCCCAGTCGACTTAGCGGGGCTCATAAGTGAGGGAGAGTTGATGAAAATTCTTCTCAGAACTGGGCAGTAATGTGACTTTTATCAGGTCTCTAGGGAGATTTTATGGCAACATAATCTTGCTGAACTCTTCCTTTCCAGAGTTAGGTATTTCCTCGTGTCCTATGCTAAATTAATTTAAATTTGACAGCCTTCAACTTTTTTACTGAGTAAGTACTTCTTAGAGGTTACGTTTTCCTTCTTTTGCTTCTATCGGTAGACAATTGATATCACGACATTTTTCTTGGTTGGAAATTTTTTTATTGATAAAAGTACACTGGTCTTGTGAAATTGNAACGTCAGATAACGGTGTCATTCGCATGCGTTCTTTTCGTGGTTTATTGATAATTCACCGAGCGCCATATGTCCATTTTGGGTTTATTTCACTTGGCCGTGTATTACTCTGGGGACGCCAGGCAGTAGCCCCTCTCTTTCCTCTCGTTTCATGTCTTCAAGCATGAATCGCTAGCTAGCTGGGGCTGACTGGATGGCTGGCTGCAGGATGATAGTGTCCGGCTGGCCGTCCGTCCCCGGCTAGCCTAGCCTCAACCGGCAGAGGGGCGGAGCTCGCGTTCGCTAGCATTGTGCGTGCGATTATTTGGCTACACACATACACACATACACATGTGCTTCCCATTTTAGGCATGCTCATCGACATGCCCTGATCCTCGTGGGCGTCATCGTTGACAGTTATTCCTCTATCTATCTGTTCGTCCTTCATTCATTATTCCTTGAACAACTATGACCAAGGATCGGCTAAGTGCCCTGAAAGCGGCACAGTCAGAGGATGAGCAAGATGACGATATGCATGTAGAAACGGGCAATGCCCAGTATATGGAAGAATTCTTTGAGCAGGTAAGGGCATTCTTTCATTTTTTTGAGCCATTCAAGTTTTTTTTGTTTTGTTTTTTATTCGATTTTCTTTGTTTTCGAACTGGTAGTATTTCATTTTTCACTTTTTCGTCGCTTTATTTTTACCCTGTTTTGTTGTGATATCGCATTATTTGGTCGAGTAATTCTAAATGCACATACTTAGAATTGCATTGAAAGCGGGCGTGATCAATGTCCCATTTCAAAATTGTCACCTATTTATTATCGCTTGGGAGTAAGCTTTCTGTTGAGTAGCTGTAGTAGTTAGCGAAGAATTGATATCGGCAATTTTTTTGATGTAATGGAGGTTCAGTTAAAAAAGAATTGCATTGTGGACTACCTAAATTGCACTCAACTACAGATATTGTCACCCATCTGCCACACCGATTGTCTGGGCTTTGACAATTGAAGCACTAGAGGGAATAATTGTAGTTTTCGATGCCCATCGGACGCTCGAGCGCATTTCGCATGTGTGTGTGTGCTTTGGCTGCGTCGGCTTCGTATCGATTTTGGAGTTTTTCCATGATTTTGGCGGCTACGAGCTTGGTTCGTCCAACTGGCATAGCGCCAATAGCCATTGCACCGCGAGAATGCCATAGAAATTTGACGTTGACGAGACGAATTATATGAAGACTCAGTTTTCATCAGAGGGCTGTCTCTTCGATGAAAGTGTAGTTCGTCAAAGAAATTGAAATTGAATGGGATTTTGAGAGAATATGGCAGAAAACTTTCCAGCTGTTGTCGTTCAATCTTTTGCTGTGCTTATTACATTGACAAAGATATGCAGCCAATATGCAGTAATGTTAAGAATTCTACGTTTCCATGGGAACATAAAAGGTGTTGAGGATTAGTTGATTAGACTCATATCGTTAAATTTCTTGGCAGCTGCTTGTACTAAAAAAGAAACACTAACAAATTAAGGTCGAAGAAATTCGTGGAAGTGTCGATTTGATTGCCAACAATGTGGAAGAAGTCAAGAAAAAACATTCAGCAATCCTTTCAAACCCCGTCAATGATCCCAGTGAGCTTTATTCTTTTCATCCTCCTCTGACATGACGTTGTTTGTCATCCATTTGATTTGTTGTCGGCATTGAGAAAGTGTTGATTTGATGGGATTTTTTACGCCGCTGAACAAAGCGCGGACACATTCTTCTCAAATATTCCCGCTATTCCGAATCGCATAGAAGCATTAGAGAGCAGTAATTGCCACACTTTGCTGCTGTGCATTCCCCCGAAGCTGAAAATGCATAGCGCTCAAGCTATAGGGTTGAGTTGAAAGGAATGTGGGGGAGGATTTGTTGTGAGAAGAAAAAACTGATTCGAATTTTTTCAGAGACCAAAGAAGAGCTCGATGAGCTTATGGCCAGCATTAAGCGAACGGCTAATAAGGTCAGATAGTTTTCTGTGGATTTTCCTCGAAAAAATGATGGTCCTTAGCTGTATTTTAGGTCCGCGGTAAGCTGAAGCTCATCGAAAATGCCATCGAACATGATGAACAATCATCCGGGGCCGGTAATGCGGATTTACGTATACGTAAAACGCAACACAGCACGTTGTCACGACGTTTTGTCGAGGTGATGACGGACTACAATAAAACTCAGACTGACTATCGTGAACGCTGTAAAGGACGTATTCAACGGCAGCTTGATATTGGTCTGTCCCCATCAGACTCGAGCCCTAAGATAACCTTATAGAGGGTAATGCTATGGATTTCAGCCGGAAAACAAGTAGGTGACGAGGATTTAGAAGAAATGATTGAAAGCGGTAATCCTGGAGTGTTTACCCAAGGTATCATCACGGATACCCAACAGGTTCGTGTATTCCTTCGATTCTATTGATCTATTTGTTTACCTTTTTTGTGCAAAGTTATTTATTTCTCTTTGTTTGTAGGCAAAACAAACCCTGGCTGACATAGAAGCACGGCATAATGATATTATGAAGTTAGAGAGCAGTATTCGTGAATTACATGATATGTTTATGGATATGGCAATGCTTGTTGAAAGCCAGGTCAGTACAATTATCCCTAATGGTTGACTTCTAAAACCTCCCAATCCGGGTTTCTTCAATGACAGCTTGATGATGATCCCGTTGGGGCGCTGATTAATCCGCTTATAAGCTATCTCCCGATTCTATAATCTTGCTAAAGGAAATGATACAGAGGAGTTCAGTGAAGTTCATGCTGAAAGCTGGTTGTTTGATTGGCTGAAGTGATGTCAGTGTCTTACATTTTTAGCATTTTTCCTTTTTCTCACTGGTCCGAGGAAATGTATGTTCAGCAGCTATAGGGAGGCATGGGATTGAACTTTTTTGCATGGAAGACATCTGTAACCAGCAGATGACATCAGCCGGGTAAATAAGGTTTCAGAGCCGTTGTCCCAAAAGTGCAACATGAATGCGTGCAACATTCCCGACTTGGAAGGGGATAGTTGAGGGTTGCAAGGAAGATGTTTTCCGAGAATTCCTGTGTATCAAAAAGGAACATGTAGTTTAATGGTTTTTCTAGTTGAATGTTTTACGAGGCAGGTTCGTCAACCATTTCGAATTCACTTTGAAATGAAGTGTCTTGGAACTAGTTATTCAGTTTTTACTGCACAGCTAAAAGCTGTTGTGACAGTTAAAATCCTTGTGTAAGTTGAATAAGTAAGTAAACACGCGTGTCGTAGAAAATCTGGGACTTCAAGGTGTCGATTATGTTTCTCTGGACTTTT